AATTTTATAAAGAAAATAAATTTTTGCTCGAATATTCTGTAATTTATCCGCAAATTTAGTGTAATTTTAGAGCAGTATTTGACTGAATTTATTTATTGTTTAATTTTATAGATAGTAAACTTACTTAATACTTATTAATTTTAAAAATTATTCTAATTTTAATAAGTAGAACTAAAAAATAATAGTTTATCTTGATTAAATAACTTTGAAAAAATATTCGCTATTCATGCATCATTTTCACATATAAGAATGAAAATATTTTTATGATATTGAAAGAAAAGTTTTCGAGTAAATAAAAATAATACATTTTTAAATAAAAAACATTCATTAAATTAAAAAAAAAAAAATTTGATACATGTTTGTACATACTTGTTAATATCAATTTTAGTTTAAGCTAAACTCGGGTATTGTCTGTTCCGAGCAATATTAATTAATTAATTTTAAACATTCTAATTGTTTTTTTGTTTAATAAAATATGATTTCAATAAACGTCTATCGAATTGCTACTTAGACGTGTCTTTTGTTTACTCACAAAATTCCTGAAATAGAAAATACTCTCATGCTAGCGAACAAATTATGATTGTTTAATTTTTTTAAAGCCTGATATAATAATTGTAAGCTTTTTGTGGCTTCTAGGGTTTCAAACTATTTTGTATTTAAGTTTGAGTAGAGAAAGTTACTTCTTCAAGAAATCATACTGATTTAAATTAATATATATACTGGTATAAACATCTAAATTAATATATACAAAACCTTTCTGGGAACCATTGCAGATTGATAAGATGTCAAATGCTATTGAACCGATATGATTTCAAGAATCAAAACGCTTTCATCTATCTTTTATATTTGGCTATATTTGTCATTATCCATTTATACAGTGAAAACCGACTTTTCTCACTAAAAAAACGGTTTTCGAATTCCATAATTTTCGCCAAAAACCGGTTTTTAAAACAGATTTTTAAAAACCGACAAACCCTAATAGATACTGAGTGGTCAGGATGGACGTCTAATTTTTTGTTTTTTTTTTTTTTGCAGGGATCTTACCAGTGTCGTTGCCAAGAAGGTTTTACAGGAAACGGGATTACATGTCGTGATATCAACGAATGTTTGAACAACAACGGCGGTTGTCATCAGAATGCCCAATGTATCAACAATGATGGATCTTTTAAATGCGTTTGTGATACTGGATTTAAAGGAGACGGGTAAATATTTATTTATTTATTTATTAACTTTCCCGAAGAAGTTTTGTTTTCATCAAAAAATCCGATTTGCTAATTTTATGTTTTCTCGACGTTTCAAACCATTCTGAATCGAATGAGACCAAATTTGGACCAAAAGTGTGTGTGTGTGTATGTGCGTGTGTGAACAGATTTTTTACTGTAAATCGACGTTTTCTTCAAAACGGCTAGTTCGATTTCAAAAATTTAAAAGCTATTATCCAGTATCGCGATGAGGACTAGCGTTTTTGAGTTTTGTGCGACGATCGGCCAAGCCGTTTCTTTGTAAATAGCAGAAAAGTGAAAAAAAATTCGTCCATTTTAGCCCGCAGTTCTGAATCGATTCTGAAAATTCACAAGCCGTTCGAAAGATATTGATTGCGAATCGTGGTGATGAGTTTTTGGTAAAGATCGGCCGGGCCGTTTTCTTGTAATAAAGTGTTGAAATTTTTTTTCAACGATTTTTATTATTATTTTTTTGACGGTTGATACAATAGTCTTGTAGATCATACTAAAATATCACGACCCTACGACAACTCGTTAAACTTCAAAAATTCGTCAAAGTTTGCAAAAATTAGTATCGTTCTTTTGGCATTTGTTAAAATTAGACCTTTTATTGACGTTTGCTCAAAACGCCTGAACCGATTTCAGAAATTCAAAAGCCATTTGATGTATCTTGATGAGGACTGTCATTTCTCAGTTTTATACAACAATCAGCCGATCCGTTTCTTTGTAATTTGGAAAAAATTGTTAAAATTTTCATCCACATTTAAGCTCAAACTACCGAATCGATTTAAAAAAATCAAAAAATGTTCGAAAGATATTATTGGTTAGGAATGATTTTAATTATTTTTTGTATTTTCAAAAGTAATGTTATTTGGGGAGTTGTCCCATTAAAATGTAGGTGCAGATTCATACAAAATATACCAAATAAACCAGACAAATTTAAAATAAAGTTCTGGACGGAATGTGAAGTCTATAGTAAATCTATAATAAGTGGGTTTCTCTATTTGGAAAATGATAAAAGGAGAGATTGTTCAATTCTTCAATTAGATAAATCGTTGTTCTAAAACTAATAAATTCGTTCACAAATTTTGTAGAAAATTGTGAAAATCAAATTTCAATCCAATAGAATCAGGGAAAAGGAGCAAAAGTGTTCCGAAAACTATTAGAATTTATATTATTATATTATTTGATAAAAATGTGGCAGAACATATGGCTAAGAAATGCAACATGAAGTCGAAAATAAAAGCATTTTTAGGCACGAATTTTTGTTTTCGTTATTATATATAATTTTTTAGATGCATATTCAAAATCTCAAGAAATTCAAGTTTTTATCAACACTATTCACAAGTTTGGCTTTGTGTGGATGAAAAACTTACAAAAAAAAAAAATTGCGAAAGTTACGAATCTCAAATATATTTGTCGTAAGGCCGTAATATTTTAGTATGATCTAGAATACTATGGTATCTATCATGAAAAAATATTCATAAAAACCGTCGAATTTTTTTTAACACTTTATTGCAAGAAAACGGCCCGGCCGATCTTCAGAATTGAAAGCTAAAAACGTGAACGAATTTTTTTCACTTTTATGCTATTTATAAAGAAACGGCTTGGCCGATCGTCGCACAAAACTGACAAACGATAGTCCCCATCGAGATACATCCAATGGCTTTTAAATTTTTGAAATCGTCCCATCCGTTTTGGAGAAAACGTCGATTTAGGACAAAAAATCTGTTCACATACACGCACACACAAACACATACTTTTCCAAATTTGGTCTAATCCGTTTCAGAATGTCTTGAAACGTCGAGAAAACATAAAATTAGCGAATCGGATTTTTTGATGAACACATAAACTTCTCCTTCGGGAAGGCAAGAGGCAGTTTTTTGTATCATTTGTTTGTTTTTTTTCAGAGTCTTCTGTACGGATATCGACGAATGCTCCAGCGATGAGACTTTATGTGACAACGGCCAATGTTTGAATTACCCAGGAGCTTTTAGGTGCGAATGTGAGATGGGATTCATGCATCCTGATGAGACGAACGACAAGGCTTGTGTCGGTGAGAAATTTACCAAAAAATTAAAATAATACACAAACACAATTTTTTTACCCAAACTAGTGGTGTATGGCATCGTGCCTTAGGGCAAATTGCTGGAACTTTCCGTACCGTAATGAAATATTCGAGATATTTTGAACGTTCTCAAATATATTATTACAAATCTTATATTTATATCTAAGCAAATCAAATGTAAATCATAAATCAATTTATCTCCAGAACATTAACAATCGTCATTTCATTTCGAATTCAATTTAAAAAATAATAATAGTTGCCCAATTTA